TAATTGGATCAAGACTGATCCCAGAAAGACTGAATATTGCTGGGAAATGTCTCCTAGCTTGCTTCATTTGTTAAACCAAGAGCACATTCTGGACTAGGATGAAATTCATCACAGTATCAGCTAAATCTCATTGCTGGGTAATTATCTGCCTGGTAGGATTTATTATTATGTATGTGTAATCTACATAATAATAAATCTAGATTTATTATTCCTCATGGATCCACATGCCTTTCCATTGCTAATGCTTGAAATGAAACTTTTGTGGTGGACATGAGGGAATCTCTGTGGTATTCTGGGGAGATTTGCTGCCTTAAAGTGAGATATTTGGCAAGAGAAAGGGCATGGAAATGCAGTAGCTGCTCATCTCCCAAGTGATAGGGCCTTTGCAACTGCTACTACATGTGCTGTTTTGTACTGTGTAGCATTAGGCCTGAGTTTTGTTGAGGAGTAGATATATTTTGGATGTTAGAGTTTGAATCAAGACTTTTTTTTCAGTGATTTGTAGTGTTTTGAGCTCTACATTACATACAAAAAGAGATATTCTCCAAATTGCACTTTTTTGTGCTAGAAATACTGTATTCAGTATTTAAGTTATTTCAGTTAACGAGATGCTGAACTCAAAATTGGGCCTCAAATAAAGATACATTATTTAAATATCAAGAATACTATACTTTTTTCAGGAAGAATCTGTTAATCTTGACTTCTTGTACGCTTCATTGTTGTATTTCCTGTATTTGTACCACATAATTCTTTATTTCTTCTCTGTCTGTTTTCCTCACTCTGTCTCCCTTTTCCTCACTCAGGCCTTCTTTGTTCTAAGATGAGTGTTACCTTTGGTTCCATTAGTGAAATTTGAAAAACAGTATCGCTTAGATGTCCTTTTCTAATATTGCCCAGCTTCCACTTTCTGCCTCCTCTTCTCTACTGGCTTTACACTAAGCAGAAATAATGGTAGCTGATTTGCCACTCTTTATCTCACCCCTATAACTGTTCCTTTTTTTCTGCTCTCTCATTTGAGTTTCACAGGGTTTGGGGTAGGTAGTTTTTAAATCTTCAGTTTTCCCTCGCCATTTGAATAGGATAATTTGTTTGCATAGTACAAAAAATAATAATCAAGCTTCCTTCCTGTTTCAAAGGAATCGCCATAATCATGGGCAAACCATTATTATTGCACTATGGTTTCTGTGCTTTAAGATATATTTAGTAAACGTTTTTTTTAAAAAGAAGTGCTGCAAGATAAGTGCTTTCCAGATAAGTAAGAGGTTCAGTAAATAAATATTATTCAACTTAATCATAGTGGGTAGGTTTTCACAGCTGTTCTTGATTATCAAATGACTTATGACTTATGCTGTGTGGGAAAATGAATGATATTGAATGATGAGGCAATGCTGATGTTTCACTGGCCATGCTGCAAGCTTCTTCAGAATAAAGTACATTCATTATTTGCTTTATTTGGTAGAACATGTAGGCTGCCTGATTCCCAGAGAGCCGAGGTGGCTTACAGTCTAATGTCTTAAAAAAAATATGAGCAAACATATAAACAACAAAAACCATTTGACAGGGCATCACCACATGCAAGTATTGGGAGAACAGCCACCTCTCTAAGGGGATCCATCCAGATCTCTGGAAGGATATCATTCCAGCGGGCAGGCACTATGACAGAAAAGGCTTGGGTCCCACCACATGACATGGCTAAATTAATGGGACCCCAAACACACCCATTTTCCTAGCTCACTGGATGTAGAGGAAGAACAGCAGCAGTGCCTCAAATAACCAGTCTCTACCTTATGCCATAAAGACTTTATGGTGATAACTAGCACCTTGAATTACATCTGGAATCTAATTAGTAATCAATTCTAGCCACAAAGTGGTTGGCACCCAAAAGTATAAGGACATGCCTTTCATTTCCTGCATTAGTATATCTGATCTAACTGTAGCTTCTTCACGGACAACCCCATGTAGAGAGTCAAGAGTTGACCAAGTTGGAGGTAACTGTATGAAGAGCCTCTCCGTCCAGGAAAGAGTGCACTAGATATACTGTACAAAGACCAGCTTAGCTACAACTTTTTGAAAGGACCTGAGTCTAAGACAACTTCCAGATTGTGCACCAGTGTTTAATGAGGAATGTGCAACCCCATCCAAGCCCAAAAATAGAAAATCATTAGATCCAGTGGGCTCAAATATTCTGACCCCCTCTCTCTTGTCAGAATTATGTCTGTTCTTCTCCATCCAGACCCATAGAGTCTCTGCACACTGGGACATACTTCAATCTTATCCTTTGTTTGATCTGAATTTGTGATGTATAGTTGGGCATCATCAACCTATTAATGATACTTGACCCCAAACAGATGACTCATCCAGTGGTTTCATGTAGATGTTAAACAAGAGCAATTATCAAGTCCTATGGCACCCACAAGTGTCATAAGTTCCCCCCCTCCCAAGTAAGAGATCATGGACTCAATCTCCTCCCTACTTACCATTGATTGAAACCAGAGACAAAAGAAAAGAGTAGAACTGCCACATAACAGTGCTGCCCACTCCAAATTATTCTCATCAGTCCTGAAAGATGCCAGAATTGAGAGTATCAAAAATGGACGAACCATTCCAGACTGAATGCTTTATTCATGATGTACATAATGTATTTGCTTATTCTGTTATCCTTTTATTTTTGTTCAGTAATTCCATTTGTCAGCTCTAGGTATTAGTTGTGTTTTGAATTAGTTACATTTTTATGATTCTGTCCAATTTTAAACTTGTTTGAGTAGTATCATATGTTGGTATGTCTGGATTTATAGATAGGTGCAACAGGGCAAGGTATTCAATTTTCTGCATAGTGAAAACACTTGCCAATCTCAGATAAATCATTCACAAGTAAACTAGAGATCTCAATATCCTATTCCTGATTTATGAAAAGCAGAGTGCCAATTTGAATTCACTGTACGGTAGAGCCTCACGGTGTTCTTCAATGATGGTCAAGAGTCCTACTTCTTCCACTTTAAATCTTCTGCCAATTTTAAGAAGGATAGTGCCACTAATACTGTTGTATTAGTATCCAGACAGAAAGTAAGCTCTGTTCCCATGATCCTTTTCTTTTCCTGGCCTTGCCATTACTTGGAATATTGTGTTGCCTTTCCTACAGAGGGGAAGTTTCTGGCAGCTCCTAATCAATCAATCTATTTCTAGAACCTGTGAAACTGTTAATAATATAAACACTATATATGATGCTACTCCAAGAATTGCCAAGATGCAAATGCAGCTTGTCCTTCAGAAAAAATTCCCACATTTAAGATAAGCCAGAAAGATCAACCTCATTCTATCTATATAGTTTTTTTTTCTTTCTTTCTTAGGGAGGAAGTAGAGGCATAAGCAGAGGCAAACATTCTCATGATCTAGGGACATCATGGTCATATGTTTATCGTATCAAAATAGAAACAGTGACATTTTAAAAATGTTAATTGACAAAACTTTATTTCTGAAAAGATTTTATTTTTAAAAAAAGTCATGCAATGTATAAGGATAGCAATTTAGAGCAGAGTGGAAGATAAATTCTATTGTGTGCACAATTATATACAGTATAATCTATCTTTGAATCATTATTGTGTACCCTTCTGATTATGGAAATGTTTACTTTTTATAAAAAGTTAATAAGGGAAATTCCATTCATTATAGGAGATCTACTTAGATTATATTTGTCATGTAGTCATTAAACTCTTCCTTTTTTCATTTACTTGCTTGTCTATGAGATAACTACATGGAAAATATAGGAGAAAATATTAAAGTTTTGTTTAAATAACATTTTAAGTAAAATGTTATAAAATTAACTTAAATCAATTCACCTTGAACACATGAGTTATTTGATTCTACAGTGTATCTATATTCTGTCAGTATCTTCTTACCTTGGCACTATATACTGTATATTCCAACCTGAGAAATGATGCTTTATCAAGGCTAAGACTCTCTCAGACCTCTTATGAGACTTACTCATCTCAAATCTCTCTTCTTCCCATTTTTCTTCCAAGTGTAAACTAGGAGGAGATGCCCTGTGGTTGCCATATTTTGGGAGTTCCACCACTCAATCATTAGAGTTGTGTTCTTTATACTGTTTGTTAACAGTAATCTTATCTGAAAATATGCTTTTTTAATATGTACATCATTTTCTGCATTAAGAAACTGGTATGTTCCAAACTAATAAATAATTGTGTTGCTCTGGAAATATAAATGTGGCCTTTGTTGCTTAAAGACCATTCGTTCAGCAACTGTTTGACGGCAATGAATGAAGAGATTTAGATTCATGCCCAAAGTTACAGCCACTGCAGCACCCCAGTGGTCATGTAATTGCAATCTAGGCTCTTGGCAAGTCATTTGTGCTTACGCCATGTTGGCAAGAGCCCCACAATTATGTGATCACCATTTCAAGTCTTCCGTACCAGCTTCCTCAGAAAGTCAACGGAACCTAGCAGAATTTAATTTGAAGGTTCATTTATAAATAAAACCTATGTGATCAGAGTTAATCAATGAATATGGTGGCAGAAATCCAGAGAAATTCATTTGTGGTACATTTATCTTATAGAAGAAATAAAGCAAGACAAAACAAAACCCATCTCTAGAAAATGGGGCTCCAAGGGTACTGAAAAGTCCAAGTACACTGAAAACTCCAAGTGTTGATATTGTCTTAAATTTAAGGAATTCACTTTCTATCCAATCTATCTTTATCAATCTATATTTACTTGGCATTTTAGTCTTCAAACTGTAGGGGTCAATCTAATAGAGATTAGTGAGACTTTTTTTTGCATTTAGCAATCTTTTTTAGATTGCATTTCAAGTATATAGCAAAATATATGTGTTAATTAGTTCTTTTTTTAAGGACATTTTTCATAGTATATATCATGAATCTAATAGTACTTGCAAATTAAATATTGTGAAAGCAATGTCACTTTTTAATCAAAATTTATATATGCATACATATATATATATATATATTGTTTTGTTTTATTTTTTAGTTTAAATCATATGCACAGTGGATGATTTCTCATCATGAACCGTGCTTTTAGCAGAAAAAAAGGTAAGCCGTTTCAATTCAATGATATTGAAAAAGTGAAAAAAAGAAGCATTGAAAAAAAGACAACATTCAGAAGGACAAAACTTGAAATGACATTTGGCCAGAGCATTATGAT